ATAATGACTCCCAAACTATCTTCCTTCTCTTCAGTGTGTCATGTGATCTCATGTATCGCTCCCTTCTGCATCCAAACTGGCCCACTTGTTAGATCCCTATAAACGAGGATGACCAAATTTTGAACCTGAACTTAAAAAAGCGCCTGATTCTTTCTCATTCTTGGAATAGAACTGGGGATCCTGCTTCAGCTAAAATAAATCCACTGTGCTGAATAGGCAGGGACGCCGAGAAGGGAGAAAGTGCATCAGTACGCAAAATACTTTGTGTTCTTCTAAACCACAGACTTAAATAAATGTGAGTAGACTATACATTTGGAGATATACAACTTTTTAAGCAAGTAGATCTTCGAATGCAGGTGGTCTGGTTCTCACCAATTACTTGTTTCTGGGATGCAACCACCACTTCTATTTCCTTTTCCAATGTTCTAGACATTCAACTATTATTGGTCCCAATTATAGGTTTCCAACATCAGAATTTCTTTGGCCACTACATGTAATTAGGCAAAGAAAAGCAGGAAAGTTAAAAAAGGATAGGGAAAACTTCTCCACAAAGGGCTGTTGGCAGCATTAAATAGTCCACTGAATTGGCCCTGGGAAGATGGAAGAAGCAATCTGTTTACTCTGCTGAGGGCAGAAGGCTGAAGTATTTTGCTTGCCAGGACCTGTGATTGAAAGCTTTGGCTTTGTCAAGTTGCAACGCAAACCTCAGCCACTTGCGTGCAGCCGAACAGCTGGAAGAAGTTCTGCTTTACTGGACCAGCTGTCCAGGGGAAGCTTTTAGGAGAACAGGCAAGCAATGGGAAAACCAATCCTGCCAGTGGCTAACTTTGTAAGCTTCCTTTCTGGTTAAACTAAATGTGGAAATGTAGTCACCAACAAATATCTTCTCTCTCTGCAATAAGAAGGCTGAAAGGATGGACGCACAATTGACAAGATCATCCATGCCTAAGTAAGGTGTGCTGCTTTTATTTTAGTTAGCGTATGGCACATTCATATCGCATTTCGATTAAAAAATTCAAGAGATAAAATTGAAAACATTATAAACGTATGTCTAGATTATATTAATTTTTTTGCTTCATTTGTCAGTTAACAAATCAGCAAAGTCTCCCTTATAGGCTTCATTTTGGCACTCTGTCACTATATGTTGGATGGTTGTTGTTTTTTCAGGCCCACGGGCACAATTCGAGAATGGCATTCCCCCCCCCCCCCCCCCACCAGCGGGCCTCGGTGCCCCTACTGTGGCCAGTGTGAATTCAGTTGTGTTGTCGATATCACAGTGCTGGACAAATGCAGGTGGTTTCTCCAAGATGCAAGGCAAACTTTGACATTCTGGGGGGCAATTTTCTATCCTATGTTGTTTCCACATATTGTGTATGTTGTACAACAGACCTGCTGCTACCATTTGCAGATAGGGTAGTGGTAGTTCTGATTTCTAAAATTCAGATGGTGGAAATGGAACCCAGACATTTCAGTGTGAAATGAATCCATGAGGGCTTCCTGTGGGAAGAAGTTCCCAGGACTGCTGCCATGAGCAGCTCTGAGGTCCGTTTCTGATACTTGCAGGTATCCCCCCCCCTTCTCCTCATCCTCTGCTCTTCAGCAGGGCTGATTTCTTCTGGGGTCCAGACCAGCAAAAGAGCGTCCCCAACACACCTGCCCTCCATCGGTTTGTGGAGAATTGCAACAAGTATGCAGAAAGAGGCAGGTGGCAGCAGTTCCAAGGTAAGAAGGTTTGAATCTGTAGATCAGTTAGTAGAACAGTAAACTCGAGTTGGTCAATTTGATTTGGTCAGAAGTAAAGCCTAATAGAAGGTAGTTTTCCACAAAAGAACAGGCAGTCCTTGATAGAATAGAATAGAATAGAATAGAATAGAATAGAATAGAATAGAATAGAATAGAATAGAATAGAATAGAATAGAATAGAATAGAATTTTTTATTGGCCAGGTGTGATTGGACACACAAGGAATGTGATTGGACACACAAGGAATTTGTCTTGGTGCATACTCTCTCAGTGTACATAAAAGAAAAGATATGTTCGTCAAGATTCTCTGGAATCAATTGCCTCCAGAGATAAGGAGAATCCAAGACCGCAGTGCCTTCCGCCGTGCCCTTAAAACCTTCCTTTTCCAGCAAGCCGGGCTGGCCTAATTTTTTAAGTGTTTTTAAGTGTTTTGTTTATTGTTTTTAATTAATGGGGCCAAATTTATATATGTATATTTTAACTGTATTTTAATATTTGTACTTGATGTTTTTACTTGGCTGTTCACCGCCCTGAGTCCTCAGGGAGAAGGGCGGTATACAAATTCAAAATAAAATAAAAAAATAAAAATAAAGAATCATAAGGTACAACTCTTAATGATAGTCAGTGTACAAATAAGCAATCAAATCATATTAGGAAACAGCCAATATAAATCATAAGGATATCAGCAACAAAGTTACAGTCATACAGTCATAAGTGGGAGGAGGTGGGTGATGGGAACGATGAGAAGATTAATAGTAGTGTAGACTTAGCAGAGTAATGGCATTGGGGAAAAACTGTTCTTGTGTCTAGTTGTTCTGGTGTGCAGTGCTCTATAGCATCGTTTTGAGGGTAGGGGTTGAAACAGTTTATGTCCAGGATGTGAGAGGTCTGTAAATATTTTCACAGCCCTCTTTTTGACTCGTGCAGTATACAGTCCTCAATGCATGTACAACAAGATGACTGCAAGGAATACAAATCCTTCCATTCCCCACCATTCAATTAGAACTGAAGAAGCTTCTTGGACGAGAAGCGAAACATTTTCAAGGAAAAACAACAAAAGTCCACTTGCTTCTTGGAAAAGCAGCTTTGGGACAATCATGACCTGGATGAGTGAGAATCTCCATGGATGTTGATTTACAACAGTTGATTTAGTGACCGGTTTAAGTTATGACGGCACTGAAAAAAGTGACTTATGACCGTTTTTCATACTTACAACTGTTTCAGCATCCCCATGGTCATGTGATCAAAATTCAGATACTTGGCAACTGATTCATACTCATCCTGGTTGCAATGTCCCAGGGTAATGTGATTGCCTTTGGCAGTCTTCTAACAAGCAAAGTCAATGGAGAAGCAAGATTCAGTGAACAACCGTTACTAACTTAACAAGTGCAGTGATTCACTTGTCTCACTTAGGAACTGAAATGTTGGGCTCAACTATGGTCATAAGTCAAGGAATGCCTGTGCTATAACAAGAGTTCATCCTCATATCCTTCTATTAGTATTCTACCATTTTTATATTTCATTTGTTCACAATATCTCCATTTCTCAAGGATGGCAGTTTAAGGTTGGATTTAGCCATTTCAGGAGTGTTTTCCCTCTTGTCTTGATACAACTTTTGCTGTGGATATGGTGGACACCACTTCTTGACGGCATAGTCAGTAGCAGAGATCTACCCAGATTCTATGATGCACAAGGACCTCTGGAGACGGCTTTCCCTTAGATTCATGGGCACAGTTGCCACCTCCTTCCTGTGCCTGGAAAAGCTCGAACTGAGATAACTGAAAGGGTCCAGAGATGATGGGCTTAGGGAACCTGGTGGTCTCCCTCCTTCTAAGCCATGCTCTGCTGCTGCTGTGTTGCATACACAATGAAGGTCTCTTTTCTCCCCCAGCTCCACTCTCTTTCCTTGTTGTGCTGCTCATATATGCTCAATACGTTTGAGCAAGAAACAAAACTAAACTACAGATGATTTTTTTTAAAAAAAACTATCCCGAGCATGTGCAGCTTTGCATTTTAAATTCATTTAAATCACAGCACCACCATAGCAGGGAGAATAAAATGGAACAGCTGAACATAATGACTTGGGAATAAGTACCATTTTGTTATGGAAAAGAAAGAAATGTTGAGAGAAAGAGAGAGCGTTTAAAATGATGTATATGCCCAACATGTCACCCTGCTTGTATTCTTTTTTCTAAAAATATATATAAAGTAAGAAAGGATGTAGCAACAAAAAAACATCCCCTTGGTAGATCAGCTGAGATGCCGACTGTGAACTATTCGGTTGCTGCAGCAGCTCCATCATTTTCAAGGCTGAAAATCCCCCCCCACACACACACACACTTGCACACATACACACCCTTCCAAGCAAGGCCTGATCAGCCTGTCCTGGAAACGCCTGCTTCTTCCCATCTCTTCACAACACCCCGCCTCGTTCTCCATTGATGTCACATTGTGGGTGCATAGATTGATTTACAGGTAGTTCTCGACTTACTACTACAATATTGAACTCAAAATTTTCTTTTGCTAAGTGAGACAGCTGTTAAGTGAGTTTTGCCCCCATTTTGCAACCTTTCTTGCCAGTTGTTAAATGAATAGCTAGTTTTTAAGTTAGTAACACAATTGATAAGTGAATCTGGCTTCCCCAGGGACTTCAATTTTCAAAAGGTTGCAAAAGGTGATCACATGACCCCACGACATGGCAACTGTCATATATATATATATATATGAGTTGCCAAGCATCTGAATTTTGATCATGTGACCATGGGGATGCAATGGTCATGTGAAAAATGGTCATAAATCACTTTTTGCAGTGCTGTTGTAACTTTGGTCATTAAACGAACTGTTGTAAGCCAAGGACCTGGATTCTTTGAGATAGCCCTTCTGCCTCCTGAAATATCACGATCAGATGGTCCGTGGGAATCTGATGGTCACCCTGGGTAAAGAGAAAAGAGGGGCCCCAAGAAAGGCTGCAAAGTGCCAGGAGGAGGAATTCACTGGTAGAGCCAAGGCGCCTTGGAAGAAGGCCTGGGGATGAAACTGTCACGAGGGGTCCTGTTTTCTTGCAGACCTTTCATTACCCAAACTAGGTAACACCATCAGTGTTAGAAGCTAGAAACCCCCCCCCTCCCTTCTGGCACTGCTGAGGTAACTTAGCTGAGTCTCTGAGAAACAACCAAGCTCAGAAAGTACCAAGGACCCCACAATCCTCCTCCTCCTCCTCCTCCCTTCTAGCACTGATGAGGTTTCCTAGTTTGGGTAATGAAAGTTCTCCCCAGAAAAGCCGCCTGCTCGGAGAGCGCCCAGGACCCCCATTTCAGCCTTCAGCTACGAAGATTCTCCTTTATGACGCTGGCAGGCAAAGAACCGCCGGCGTTCATTTCATCCCAGCTTTCCCCACCCAGGTAAAGACACTGAATCTGAAAGAAAGAAAGAAAGAACAACCCCACCACCCTAATGCCTGCTTTATAATTTATCCACAAGCTTAAAGGGCCGGGAATCGCGGCTGAAGAGCAACACTGACGCCGCTTCTACAGAATTCCGGTGGAGCCGGAAACAACCGGCCTTCATTCGCGAGGAAACTTTCGAAGGCGGCCAGCGCACAAAAGCAGGAAACCTCGGGATTAAAGGCGGGCAGCCGCCTCTGAAGACGCGGGGAGATAAGCGCCGCGAACAAGGTGAGAAGGGAAGATAAAGCCGACGGGCGCGGCGGAGAGAGAGGCTCGGCGCGTCTGGGGAGCCCAAACGGAACGGAGCCGATAACGGGAACATTTCCTGGATCGGGCCAACGAGGCTTTTCTCTTCCCTTTCTGCTCTGAAGACAAAAAAGCGGGCTGAACCTTCTTTCATGGAAATATGCCCGTGAGCCCCGCGCAAGGGGAGGCAAAGCCCGGCCCCCTCCCGCTGGCGCTCCTGTCACCGAGGCCGCCTCCGGCGTTTGGAGACCCTGCCCAGTTGCTAAGAAACGGCTCGGCGAGGAGGGAGAGCGGGGCGGGGGGGGGACAAAGAGAAACACCCGATCGCGCCCCCCCCCTCGCTTCGCCGGGCTCTAGACGCGCGTTCCAGCCTGGCCGGCTAGACAATGCTGCCCTCTATGGGCCGCCTGCGGGTACTGCAGGTTATTCCTCGAAGTGGCGGCGGGTGCTCGGAAAGGATGCCGGTCCCGGAGCCGCCAAGTGCCCTCCGCAACCCGCGTCTACCTTTGGCTCCCTCCCTAAGAAGGAAGCGACGGGGACCCTAAGCAGAAAAGGGGGACGGGCAGACGAAGGGGAATATCTGTAGCTCAGGGTTGAGGAGGCGCCCTTGGTGTTTTCCTGCAGACGTTTCCTTACCCAAAGTAGGTAAGATCAGCGTCTCTCCCCTCCTCTTCCTCTCTGCAGAGCCCCCGCCCTTCTAGCCCTGAAGAGGCTGCCTCCTTTGGGAAATGAAACGTCTGCAAAAAAAACCACCCAGCTGCGAGGACCCTTCACACAAAATCCTGTTCCTCCCTGGAAGGCCGTGGGGAGGGGAAGGGAGCTGCAACAGGGCCCAACCGTTTCTTCCACTAAATTTCGGCACAAATAAAAAAAACGGGGGGTAGGGGAAGGACTCACCAGTGAAGTTCATCCAGCCCGGGAGCCCGGCTGAGTGGGGTAGCAGACTAAGATGCAAAGCACACCCGAAATAGGGCTTAATCATTTGGGCACCGACTGTGATGGGAGTTTTCTTCGCGTGGGGGTTTTAGGAACCGGAAACCCACGGAGAGTACCATTGTGCAACCTTGGGCTCAAAATGGGGGGGGGTGTAACAGCGTGGAAGAGCCTGCACGGCCAGGCATTTACTCCAAATATTCGATTAAAATTCAGTTGGAAAGCAATTTGACTGAATCTTGAAACCGAACTGACTTTTTGAGTTGACTTTATGAATTGCATCGCTAAATTGAAACAGGTACCAAATTGGATTGGCAGTCCAAACAGAATTGATACCATTTGATGATCTAAATCAAATCAGCACAGCTGCGCAAAACAATTTAACCATTCAAATTGAATCAGCTCAGTGCTCTGAATTATCTCCAAAAATTTGAATACAATCTGACATTATTTGCACAGGTCTAGTTTTGGTTACTCTCGGTAGAGTGACGAGGACAGAGGGTGGAGGCAGGCAACAAAGGGAAAACTGCAGTCCAGAATATCTTTGTGGCACTTGAAATGAGAACGAGAGAGAGGGAGAAAATAGAACTTAGAAAAACAGTTCGCATAATACCATGTTACCGCTTTTATATACAGAAAAAAGCAAACAAGAAATATCTGTGAACATGCCGAGATTACTGTCCAGGAAAGTACAGATTACTTTGAGAACCGCATTTCAGTTTCTTGAATGTGGCAGAAAGAGCCAGCCGTTTAACCGCTATTTTATCCATTCCCTCTTCTAACCCTGAGCTGGGCTGCTCAGCATTTTCGAAGAAGCTGGACGGACTGACCTTCCTCCCATTTATTTATACCACAAAACACCCACAGAAATTCAAGCAGAAACACTGTGGCTTTTCCTTTTTTTTCCTCCCTAAAATGAAAAGTCTCCAGCAAAGTGAAACGCCTAATCTTCGGAACATCTGCTCCAAACAGGCAGGAATCCTGGAAATGCCACCAGCGCATTTGCCGGAGTCTTCTCTTCAGGGGGTCTTGGGGAGGGGGGGATTTCACAGACACGGCGCACTTCCCACGGGTTCCGGCAGATGATCATAATACAAATGATATTTGCATGCTATGATACTCCTTTAGCACAGCCCCGGGAGATGCAACAAAAAGCCAACACAATCACATCTATTAATCTCCTGCAGCTTTAAATTCCCCTTCGCTTGGAAAATTCATTTCTCCACCCATCAAATAGCCAGTGTGGGGTGGTTACACATTTGGGATGTGGGGGGCGAAACTCTGGTGACTGGAAACCCCCCCTCCCCGCAGTGCATTTCTTCAAGAAGTCTCTGAATTGGCTGGCATGTTGGAGTACTTGAGAGCAATTCCCTCGCAGGGTTTCGATGGTGCGAGAGTAAGAAAGGGGAAAAAATGCCCAGTCATTCGCGGCAAGACAGTAAACAATTTGGTTCTTCCCTGTTGTTGTTTTTCACTGTTTCTCCTGCAATTTTTTGTACCCATAATCAAGAGGGATACATAATCACAAGATTCCCCCCCCCCCCAGCTATTATCCCATGCAATTCTTGGCTTTCAGAGCTCGCAAACCAGTCTGCAAACCCCCGGGGCACCGAAGCCTCCCCGCCCTCATTCTGGATGGAGATTTTGTGAGGCAGAGCCCAGCGGGGGAAATCAAATCTGCTTTTTAATGCAAACGAGACGCAATTTGCAAGAAAGTTGAGAGTAAGGAGGAGCGGGAGAAGCACACCGCACATCGTAGAAGGTGTGCAGGGGACATCTGAGCTCAATGACTTTAAAATAATGATTGTATTTTTTTAAAAAGGGAAAAAATAGAAATCATGGAAAAAGAAAATAAAAGCAAGCAATACGATAACGAACAGCTTAAGTGCGGAAGGGTTTCAATATGCGTACGGCTTTTTCGCAATAGTTCCAAAAAAAGGGGAACCACATTTCATCCTTTCTCCTTTTATTTTTTTAAAGTGTCCGGAATGTTATTGTTGCTTTGCATACAGAATGAAATCGCCGCAAATCCAGATTGGCTGCAAGGAGAAGAACTACGCCGAAGTCGAGAGAAACCGTTTCCCCGCTCCTTTGAACCGCGGCGTCGCAATCAAGGGATCCCGGGGTTTCTTGTAGACGGAGGGGACGAAGCCAGAAAGGCGCGCGGAGGAGCGGCTGGCATCGAGGGAAGGAAGGAGGGGGAGGAGAAGGCCGCTCGCCGCTCGGGGAAGCCCAGGAGCCGCCCGAAGCGAGCCAGGCACAGCAGCGAAGGCGGCAAAAGGCGACCCGCAGCTCCAACCTGCGCGCGGACAAAGCGGCGACGGCCGCCCTCGCAGCCCTCCCGGAGGAAGACGAGAGGGAGGCGGGGGTGGGTGGAGGGTCTTCTGCCGGTGGAGCTCCGGGCGGAGAGGCGCCCCTGAACCCCCGGGAGCCCTGCCCGAAGGAGCTAAGCGCCGGGAGGGCCCAGAGCCCCAAATGGGGTCTCCCAGGAAGCTTTCCCAGCAAATTGCTCACAGAACCGCCTTCCCCCTTACTCGACCCAGCTGTCTCTTCGCTGCTATGTGCAGGTAGTCCTCGACTTGCATACATTCCTACTGTGACAGTTCGAAGTTGCAACAACATTGAAAGGTGACTCTTGACCGTTTTTCCCACTTAGGACAGTTCCCCCATCCCACTGCAGCGTGTGATCGAAATTCAGACGCTTCACAATCGGCAGGTATTTATGATGGATGTGATATCCTGGAGTTCACCTGATCCCTTTTGCGACCTTCTGATGAGCAGTCAGTGGGGAAGCCAGACTCACTTAACAGCCATCTTGCAAACTGAACAGTTGCAGTTATTTACTTAACAATTGTGGCAAGAAAGGTTATAAAATGGGGCACATCTCACTTAACTGTCTTACTTAGCAACAGATTTTTTTATGTTCAGTTGTCATAAGTCAAACACTACCTGTGAAACAAACAAGTGATGTGAATTTATAGTTTCAGATTGTAAAATCGAGTCTTAAAATACCGCAGGAGTGGCAGGATGTTAGCTGTTCCGTGTAAAGCTGCCTTTTGCAATTGACTGATGAGGATTATTTTTATTTAGGCATTGCCAGACTCTACAATGACTCTGGAAAGCTCACAACATAACAGGAAGAATAAAGTACAAAGTGCTGGTATATAAGAAACAAAAAACATCCAGGGTTTGAAGATTGAGGTCGGTTCTTCCCAAAGGCCAAATCCCACAGGTTTGGGACTTCCTGGGGTTAAACCATGCTTGTGTGCATGCTGTTGAAAATGTTTCCGCATAGTTTCTCCAAGGTCATCTCTCTTCTCTCGCTCTCTATGTGTGGCTACCCCACCCCTCCCAAGTGACATTCCTTAGCATGCCGTGCTGTAAAAGAGGAAGGTGTTTCTGAGATAGTTGCCAGCACAAGAGAATTGAAGTGACCTGCTTAGGACTTCAAGCAGGCATGAAAATATTGCTGGAGAATGTGGAGAGGCTCGAGGCTTTTGTTTTGGGTATGTTTTTGGGTTTGCTTTCTCACTTGCCCTCTTCAAGCTGTGCGGTGACTTGAACCATCTGGCAAGTAAAATGCGCCATATTAAAGACTCACGATTCTTCCTCAGACTGCACAGTAGCATTTCATAGATTTTTAGGAAAGGCTGAGGCTGCTGTTCTCCGTTATTGCTCCCCCCCTCCTTTCATTTCAAGCAAAAGGGGAGGTAGCTGCAGTTATATTATTGATAATACAAAATTGTATTGATAATGCAAAACTGAAGCCAAAGACTTAAACTGGGAAGATAAAGCAGGCTGCAGCTCTTCACGTGAATTAACCCTAATACAACTGCTCCAAAGGGCAGATCTTGGGGTTCATTAACAGGAACACAGTCCAGATTTGGGGGTGCAAGTGGAACACTACTTTGCCAAGGTCTGAGCCAAGCATTTGGAGCCTGCCCCCAGTTCTGAGCACCCGTCCCAAGCTCATTTGGTTGGGCTAGGAAACATGCTGGCTCTTCCACTCCACAGTGGCTTCTGGTCACTTGCAGGCCTTAAGAATGGTCTGCTGCCTCTGGATGGAGATGGTCAGCATCCAGACACATCTGCCATCTACACCTTTTGCCCAGGCCTCAGGGCAGTGGTGAAATGTAAAATGTGTTCTGTGTCTGGTTCTGTGCGCGTGGCTTGGTGGACGGGAGGTAATGTGACTGGATGGGCGTGGCCAACTTTTTTTTTTCTTTTAAAAACATTTTTTCTACAACCTCTTCGGCCGAAGAGGTTGTAAAAAAATGCTTTTAAAGGCCTCTGACGATTCCAGCTGAGTTGCCTGATCGGCAGAGGCTTTTTTTCTTTTAAATGCTCTGCCGATCAGGCAACTCAGCAGGGATCGTCAGAGGCCTTTAAAAGAAAAAAAGCCTCTGCCGATCAGGCAATTCAGCTGGGATCGTCAGAGGCTTTTAAAAGCATTTTTTCTATAACCTCTTCGGCCGAAGAGATTGTAGAAAAAATGCTTTTAAAAGCCTCTGACGATCCCAGCTGAGCTGCATGATCATCAGAGGCTTTTTTTTTTACTTTTAAAAGCATTATTTCGGCCAAAAAGGTTGTAGAAAAAATGCTTCTAAAATTTTTTTAAAAGCCTCTGATGATTGCACAGCTCAGCTGGGCATGGGGGCAGGGCAGGGATTTTTGCTACCGGTTCTCCGAACTACCCGCCTCCATTGCTATCGGACCAGGCGATCCGGTCCGAACCGGGAGCATTTCACCCTGCCCCAGGGTGTCAGATTTAGGGTTTTGTCACACGATTTGGGGGTTCCTCAAAGAAACTCATTTCCTCCTCCAGCCTGGCCTGTTTTGGGTGAAAGAAGAAGGGCAGAGTTTTCGGATGAAAATGTTGCAATGACACATTTTCCCCTCCCACTGAATTGTATGGATGGCAACTCGGCAGGCTTTTTTTGCCACACAGGGCAACATGTCTAATCATTTTCCACAATTGCTTTTCTATGTGGAAACTCTTACAGTGTATCATCAATTTCGTTGTCTTTCCTCAATTCTTTGATTTCAACAAATACTGCAAAAGCAACAGAAGTGGAAATGAGGGCAGCCTCGTGCAATGGCCGCAATCACCCTCCGCCCCGAGAGAGAAGCAATGTGGAGCTTTTAGCAGGACCCTCTTAGGATCGGAAGGGCTGGGCAGCCCTCAGACCATGACATCCGCCCCAAGGCTGATGAAGAGGAATGGCCCACAACCTCTGGACTCAAAGTAGGGAGCCTTTGTACCCTGGGCTCTGCTACATTGGAGCAGTCAGTTGCTTTCCTTGTCTGCACAAAGGTTGGCTTGTGGCCAGTAAAGCTCCTATGGCAAACAAGTTCCTGAAGCAAGCTTGAGTATCATAATGAATTCCTATGGTGCCTGTGAAAAGGATGGCTTTGTGTTGAACTTATCGGTGTATGTATAATGTATTTTGGGGGAGGAGGAGGTTGTAAGGTTCAAGACCGCCTTCTACCGCATAACTCCCAACGACCGGTAAGATCCCACAGAGTTGGTCTCTCTGGGTCCTGTCAGCTAAACAATGCTCACTGGCGGGCCCGCAGGGGAGGGCCTTCTCTGTGGCTGCCCCAGCTCTCTGGAACCAGTTACCTCCTGAGGTCCGGACCATCCCCACCCTATTGGCTTTCCAAAAAGCGGTGAAGACCTGGCTTTTCCGGCAGGCCTGGGGCCGTTGATCTCATTCTTGCGATCCGGCCATGAATGGTGTGAATGGGTTTTAATGTTTTTAATGTTTTTAATTTTTAAATGTTTTTTATAATGATTTTAAATGCATTGTGAGCCGCCCTGAGTCCTCGGAGAGGGGCGGCATACAAATTGAATTAATAAATAATTGCTTGCCGTATCAATTTGGCCAGTCTTGGTATCTCAGGTTCCCAGGCATCCCCACATCGGACACCTCCTTAATCCATGCAGAGGCGCAGGCAGGACATATCTGCTGTTTGAGGCTGACATATGCAGAGGTTCTTTAAAATGGAAGTGTGCTACATATAGAAATTAATCTATAGCATGTACACCATTGTCTATTTTAGAACCATGCATTTGAAACGTCTTTGCAATTTATAAAAATCTACCTTGCGTGGTTGCAATGAAATTAATCTTTCTGTCTCTCTTTCTGTGTGGTCTGTTTAAAAATTGGACTTTCAAGACCCGTTTCCCAGCTCCTAGAGTTCATCCAGTTGCACCATTACTCTTCCAGAATGCTCTCAGATGAGTTTTATAGGGCAACCTCCCTTGCTGGCTTCACATAATTTTGTGGGGATTCAGATAACAATATCACCAAGCCCTGACTCCTGGGAGTTTTGCAAGGATTGGTCGTTCGAGTGCTTTTGAAGTAGATGAAAAGCAGGATGAAAATATTTAAATGTACGGTTTTCCTTTGTACCGAGAGGCATGTGATCCAAGATAGCTTATTTCTGCGCATGTTCAAGATGGCGTCCCGGCGCTGAAAACCAAATCTTCGGGGGCGATGCCTCGGCTTGGGGGGCCTTGGGAGGGGGTCATTTTGAACATCTATGACCCCCCGTTCAGGTAAAAGAGCATCTGGGGATCCCATTGAGAGCTTTGTTAGCTCTCCGGACCACCCCAGCTCCGAGGAGGACGGCGCCGAAGCGCTGGTGGGTGAGGGCGTGAATGGATGCGGCCTGTCGGGAGCGGCGCTGGCACCGGCGGCTACAGGCAGTCGCGGTGGCGGCCCCTTGAAGACATCGATGTTTGAGGCCCCTACGGAGGCTCCCCATGCCCCTGGATGCCTCGAGGAAGATCTGTAGAGGCAGGGGGCGGCTGGGGACGTCCATGGGGAGGGCGACGGTGGCGACCGCGGTGATGGTGGCTGATGTCGGGGCGGCTCCCAAAGGCCTGCAGACCTGATTACCGACAGCATAGGATTCTTCAATGGCAGCCTTAGACCGAGCCCTGGATGACTGGAGAGTGTTGGACCCTCGGGGGAAGGGTTACCACCATGGAGACCCAGAGACCCCCCCCCCCCAGGACGAGCTGGATGGGGGGGAATGAAATAGGGCAGCATTATCCATCAGACTGGAAGGTGAGGAATTTATAGGGGTTGGAAAATGACTACAAAATTATGCGGTTTGAATTTCCCCTCCCTCCACCTTCCTTTGGACCGAGTTTAGGCCTATGGGCCTTATTACGGCTACAGCTACCCATTTATCTTGGCCTGCTGAATTATTCCTAATTTCCCCCTCTTCTACCTAGCTTGTCTGAACTCCCTGCCATGTAAAATCTCTTTGACGTGAATTTACAAACTTAAACCTCCTTCTGAGCAGGATACTTGGACTCCCGGATGCTACTAATCCCAGGAGGGATACTGTTCCATTGACATGAGGCCGGTTGGAGGCGGAATATGGCTATCTTCACGCCCGGGTTTCC